AGTAGTTTCAGAATTTCAGGGCTTGCTTTAAGGTCTTTGTCTATTTTGAGTTGATTTTTATACAGAGTGAGAGATAGGGGTCAAGTTTCAATCTTCTACATGTGGGTTCCAGTTTTCCCAGCACCATTTATTGAAGAGGCTGTCATTTCTCCAATGAATATTTGTAGCACTTCAGTTGAGAATCAGTTGGCTGTGGATGTGGGTTTATTTCTGTTTCTCTTCTGTTACATTGGTATGTGTATACCAATATCATGCTATTTTGGTGATTGTCTTGAAATCAGGTAATGTAATGCCTCCAGATTTGCTCTTTTTGCTCAAGATTGTTTTGGATATTCAGGGCCCTGAGTGTTTCCATTTTAGGATTGATTATTTTTTCTAGTTCTGTGGGAAATGCCATTAGTATTTTTTTTTCTTTTGGTGGTGCTGGGTATTGAACCCAGAACCTTGTGCATATGAGACTAGCACTCCACCAACTGAGCTATATCCCCAGAACACCATTAGTATTTTGATGGGAATTGAATTGAATCTGTGGATTGCTTTGGACATTACAGGTATTTAGACAATATTAATTCTTCCAATCTGTATACATGGGACATCTTTCTTTCCATCTTTTAATGTTCTTCAATTTCTTTCTTTGTTGACTTGTAATTTTCATTATAGAGATCTATAGAGTCACATTTTATTGTGACTATAGTGAATGAGATTTCTTTCATGATTTCTCAGCATATTCAATGTTGGTGAATTGAAAAACAACTGATTTTTATATGATGATTTTGTATCCTCCTGTTTTACTGAATTCATTTATCAGTTCTAGTAGTCTTTGGGTTGAATATTTATGTTTTTCTGTGTAGATAATCCTATAATCTACAAACAATGATAATTTAACTTCCTGCTCTTCTATTTGTATGCCTTTATTTCTTTCTCTTGCCTAATTGGTCTGGCTTAAATTTCTATACTATATTGAATAAGAACAGTGAGAGGGAACACCTTGTCTTGTTCCTGATCTTAAAGCATGCTTTCAATTTTACCCTATTCAGTATACTGGCCATGTATTTTTCATATGTAGACTTTATTATGTTGAGACATGACCCCTTTTATACCTAATTTATTCCAGGTTTTTTTAATCATAAAGAGATGTTTAATTTTATTAAAAACTTTTTCTGCGTCTGTTGAGATAATCCTATGATTTTTATTCTTTATTCTACTTATGTTATGTACTATGTTAATTGATTTGCACATGTTGGTGTATGATCTTTCTTATGTGCTGTTGAACTCAATTTGCTAATATTTTGTTAAGGATTTTTGCATTTATATTCATCAGGGATATTGGTCTGCTCCTTCCTTCCTTCCTTTCTTCTTTCCTTCCTTTCTTTTTCTTTTCTATTGTCCTTGTCAGGTTTTAATAACAGTATAATACTAGCCTCATTGAATAAGTTTGGAAAGGTTCCACTTTTTTTTTTTTTTTAGTTGTTGATGGACCTTTATTTTATTCATTTATTTGTATGTGGTGCTGAGATTTGAATCCAGTGCCTCATACATGCTAGGCAAGTGTTCTACCACTGAGCCACGACCCCAGCCCTCCACCCTTTTAATTCTATGGAATAGTTTGAGAGGCATTGGTGTAGTTCTTCTTTAAAAGTTTGGTGAAACACAGCTGTTCCTGAACATTTCTTTTAGTTTAATTCTGATTTTTTTAAACTTTCTTTTGTATGAGTGATTTATCCATTTGTGGAAGTGGAGTACTGATATTGATTCTTTTAATTTCTTTTTTGTATATCTACTTTTCAATGGAATTTATAGTTTTACATGCTATCATGGTGGTGTTTGTCTTTCTTCCATTTCTGAATGTAGGACTCCTTTAAGTGTCTTTTGTGAGTAATGATTTCCCTTAGTTTTTAATTATCTTATAAAATCTTCATTGCTGTTTTGATTTCTGGTATTATTATGTTGGCTAGCCTTAAAATACATGATTTCATGCCCATCTGTCCTGTAGGGGTTCTTCTACTGAGAAATTTGCTGTCAATCTAATGGGATTTCTCTTAAATATGATGTGGCAATTTTCTCTTGCAGATTTGTATTTGTTTATTTTTATGTGGTGCTGAGGATCGAACCCAGTACTTCATACATGTTAGGCAAGCGCTCTACCACTGAGCTACAGCCCCAGTCCCAGATTTTTACATTCTTTTCTTGTCCTATACTTTTGACAATTTGACTTAATGTAGCAATGAGGATTTATTCTTGTCATATATATTTGAAGCCAATATATATGACAAGAATAATGTTTATATCTTTCCCAAGATCAGGGACATTTTCTATGTTTCATTTATTAAATAGATTATCAATGCTCTTAACCTTTTTTTCTCCCACTTTGGGTATGCCAATAATGTGGACATTTGATCTTCCACTGGTGTCCCAAAGATCCTATGTGTGTTCTTCGTTCTTTTGTTCTTTTATTTCTTTCTGAATGTGATATTTATTTTTAAACTCTGATATTCTTCCTTCTGCTTGATCTAGTCTATTGTTGAGGTGTTCAACTAAATTTTTGATTTGAGTTATTGAGCTCTTCATTTCCAGAGATACTGATTGGTCTTTTTCAAAACATCTACCTCTTTGCTGAATTTCTCATGCATATCCTGTATTGTTTTCCTAACTTCATTTAACTGTTTATCTGTAATCTTTTGGATTTCACTGAGCTTTTTAAAAAATAATTCTTTTGAATTTTGTTTCAAAATTAATCCATTATCATATCTTTGGAATCTGTTACTAGAAATTATGATTTTTGGAGGTGTCATTTTATATAAGTTGTGTTCCTAGGTTGAGATTTGTATATCTCATGAAAAGGATATCTGTGCTCGTTTTATGAGATTGTCCTCTTAGTAAGAGACATTCTCCAGAAAATGTGTTTTGGGATATTGACTTGTTAGACCATATTATTTCTAGATGGGTAGCATAATGTAATTTCCTCGTAGCTTATTTGGCTGTGATTAGTATGGTTGGGCATAGTGCACACAGTGTTGGAGCCAATGAGACCTACTGTCTATAAGTGATGCAAGAGTAGGGACACTCTAGCAGTTCAGGCATGTATAGTGTAGACAGCAGAATGCATAGGGTACACCCTATGTGTCTACTTCTGTAACAGGAGTGGTAGCCCCATCAGGTGATGGGGGTTTCCTCAAGCACTGTTGATATTGTCTCTGTAACTTGTAAGGCTTTCTGGCCCTGGCTGTACCAGTAGTGGTAAGGGGCCAGAAGCACTTGTCCTCTGAATAAACAGTGGTGCAGACACAGGTGTTTCTCAGGGAGAGATGAGGGCAGGAACCACAGCTCTTCCTCTGTGCACTCATGCCCAGTCCTGTCAGCAGTGCATGACTAAAGTGTGAGTGTGACTGATGGTGGGACACATGTAGGTGCAGTGGCAGTAGGAATTGTGATGTTCTCTTCTGCTGCTGAGTGGTTGTGCCTCCCCAGGAGCAGGATCTCAGAACCCCCCTATCTGTGCACATAGAGGTATGGAGTAATGGTTGGGTGCTGAGGGCCATTGCCAAGTAGAAACGACGCATCAAAATTTCCTTGCCAGCGTACCCCATGTTGCTTAGAGGAAGGACTCATGGAAATGGACTTGCCTTGGACATTCGCTGTGACATTGCATGTATGTTTGAGAAAGGTGACCCTGCTCAAGGACCAGGGTGGATCCAGGTTTAGGGTGTATCCTGCAGGTTTTAGGAAGTATCCCACTCCTTGGGTTTAGGGCGTTCCGGATTTAGGACAATCTGGGTTTAGGGCAGTTCCAGGTTTAAGGTTATTCCTGTTGGGAATAGGGCGTATCCTGCTGCCTGAGTTCCCCTTGAGTTCTTGTGGAATTCAGAAGGTATTTTGGGATTAAAAGCCTGGGGGAGTAGGTGTATTGCGCGGCAGAACTTGGATTTCCCCAGAACGTGTTTGTACAGGGCCGGTGTGAGTTCGAGAATAAAGAATTGCTGTTTGAATCTACAAAGTGTGAGTGGCTCGTGATCTTGTGCCCAGCCAGACTGCAGCAGTTGGGGCTTTTCTTTCTCTAATTCTTTTAGCTATAGTGCTGGCCAGTCATGGGCAAGAGTGGGTCATGGCTGGAGCTGGGCAACATTTCTCTCAGCTGAAGTGCTTGTGGGAATGATTGAGAGCAGAACATGGATGGTACTGGGCAAAGATTCTCTCCAGACCTTCTTAAGCTATATACACCAGGGAAAGGACAACAGTCAGAGCTACAGTGCTTCTTAAGACCACCCCAGAACACCCCTGTGTTGGGGAGAGCAGTGGAATTCTGTCCCCCCTCATTAGTGACAGGTGCCCTTGTGTGGCACTGGGGAGAGGGTGGCAGGAACTGCGTGGGTTACTGTATTCAGTCCTGATGCCATCATGAAACCACACATGACATCTTCTCAGGAGGGCTAGCTCCTCAACCCTCAGTTCCTGAGAGTGAGAGTTCTACATTCCCCTCCATGTCACAACAACCATTCTCTCCAGCGTAGCACTGTCAGGTTTCTATACTGAACCAAGTTGGGTTCATGAGTTAGTTACCTACCTGCCAGTTGTGCAGTAGGATATCTGCGGGGTCCCAGGGTTGGGAATATGCAGGGGTTTCTGATCCCTGAATCAATCCAAATTCAGACAATAGGTTCCTTCTCCACATAGCTCCTGGCTGCAGCACATGGGGAACTTCACTGGGAGATGATATGAATTCTTCTAAAGCTAGACTACTCTACAGATTTTAGGTTAACTTCTCTAGTAAGGGTGTAAGCCTAAAGGGTTATAAACCTTGCAAGAGCTAGGATTGCCAGTATCCACGCTGACAGAATTTGCTGGGGCCATCACTTTCACCTGTACCTCTCTAGAGGGGAGACACACCGTCCCCCAGCTGAGGGCTGGTGGTGGGCAGGAACTAAGATATTTTGTTTCTCTTACTATTCTGTTTTCTTAGTCTCTGAATCTTGTAAGGTTTCTGGTTTTCTGTTCATTTCCAGTGTTCTCCCAAGACCCCTCACCTCAGTGTGTAGCTGCACACCTGTTACTCTGGTTCTTCTTTGTGAAGGAGCGGGAGTCTGCTGGGTACCTTTATTTGGCCATCTCGTCCTCCTCTGAACCATTATTCTTCAACTCAAAAAGAATAGCAGCTATTTTATTGGATTATGGTAGATACTTCAGTAAGTATGTGTTTTCTTTTCCTCTTCTTTCGTATTCTTACTTCTAAGAGTCATAAAAGAAATTGATTTCCTAATGGTTCTTTTTTCTCCATTAGAATTCATGGCTAATTCATGAATTATTACATTCTGTATTATTGTTAGCTATAGATTATACAGGGCCCATACAAAAAAATAAATCCAAGTACTTATTCTGATACTGATATTAATAATCTCAGTGTCAAAAATCAGAGGTTTTTTTGTGCATTATCTTTATCACATAAGATTGGTTTGGGGACTACCCTTAGGAAGATAACATTTAAAATTCAGGGAAATGAAGCCTGTCTCAAATACAAATGATTAATCCATGACTAGGCCTGATTTAGATTTAGTCTCAGACTGGCAAGTGCAGCTAGTTAGGTACATGCCAAAGGAGCTGAGACGCCATATCCTAGGGACCAGAGATAACCCAATAATTGATGTGATCACTGAGGCCTCTATTAACAGTCAGAAAAATCTATCCTGTCTCTGATTTCTTTGACTCCCACATATATTTTTCCCTTGGGAGAGAAGTTTAGTATTATATTAGAAGTGAGCTGGATCCATCTATCAGACAAGCACTGGTTCCCACCTCTCCCAGCAGAGCAGCCATGAAAACAAAGTTACAGGGCCTTCTTCTTTGTCACCAATAAGGCACACTCTAAGGTGCTACTTTGGTAGACAGAAGTGACACTGTCTAACAAATCAGTTCATGCTATAGAATTTGGCCCTAAAAATTTGCTGAGGGTAATGTTTGAATTTTCATCTGTGGCATATACAACAACAACAAAAAAAAAAGGTATTTAAGTTGGATAGATTGGGAGAAAGGGTTGACTTAGCCCTAAGTCTGATTTAGATTCCTCATGTTTCAGATGCAGGGACTGGAAGAATGATCCTGAAAATAAATAAATGAGTGAACATTGTCCCAAAGTATCTAAAGAAGTGAGAGAAATTGATGAATGTCTGAAAGTCTGTTTTCCTCTTCTAGGACATTGTGTTTTGTATTAGCCATGGTGCCACTATGATATTTGTAGATATAGCACATTTGGGGTTCTTATTAATTACTAATTACTCTGATACTCTGCCAGGTTCCTTACCCTTTGTTACCAGTCTTCCACTTCCATTTCAGATCAAAATGCCACCGCTCCTCCAGTGTGTGATAGAAGCTGAATAAGTATGTGTTAAATTATGAGTGAGGAGTAAGCATAATGATGCATGTGCAAGATTACATGGTCTGTAAATGCTGTGTGATCTTTTTCATTGTCAGCAAACTCCTCTTGCCTCAGTTCAGTCATCACTTCCTCAGAGAAGCCTTCCTTGATTGTCCTCCATATGACAGAGCCCCCAGTTGTGTACTCTGATGGGACCATATAATGATTGTGTGTGGAATTGGCATTGACCTTTTTCTATTTCGTTTGTGAAATTATTTGATCATTTTCTTTCCCCTACCTAGGCTTGAACGCCATCAGATAAGACCTCCAGTTCATGATGCACATACCTCATCTATTGAAGGGAACAGGAAAAAGAAGGGAAGTACAAGATAAAAAATATAAATGTTTTCAATAATGTAGAGTGGTTGCGATAGTTAGTCATAGTTGTCATTGATTGGATCATGAGGTGCCCAGGTATCTGGTTAAACATTATTTCTGCCTGTGTGAGTGTTTCTGGTAGAGATTAACATTTGAATTGATGACCTGAGTAAATCAGATTGCCCTTCTCAGTGTGGGTGGGCCTCCTACAATTCACTGGGGGCCTGAATAGAACAAAAAGGTGTACAGAGGGAAGAATCATTTTGCTCTCTCTTTCTCTGCCAGACTGTGGGAGTGGGGCATCCATCTTCTCCTGTCCTCGGCATTCCTGGTTCTCAGGCCTTCAGACTCAGACTCTAATTGGGTGCACCAATGGCTCTCCAGCTCTCTGGCCTTTGACTTTTCCTGAATCTCTCCAGTTTGCAGCAGAGAGATTGTAAGGCTTTTTAGCCTCCACAATTCCATGAACCAATATCTTATACTAGACTTCTATCTATCTATCTATCATTTGTCTACATATTCTATTTCTCTGGTTACACTGATTAATCAAGTGGAAAAACTTTGCTAAACAGAGTTACTTTGAGTAGCTTGCCTGGATGGATCAACAAGAAAATCTCTTGCTGTCACAGAGCTCCTCAGTGACACCCAACAGGGGATAACTAATTTGCCAACTATTATTTACATTGTATTCCTAGCCCTAGATTCTTCCAAAATCATCTGAGATTTTCCCAACTTGTACAAGTAAGGACAATATCAAAACAGATTATCTAAAGGAAGCACACATAGCAGGTCCCCACGGCCTGCCTCTGGAATGATGGTGTTACAGAAATTGGGGACTGACTTGAGCTTGTGTTTCCTGGCAGCTCAGGCAAAATTCAGAATGTGGAAGGGAATGTCCTCTTGCACAGCATTGTTTTTTTTAACAAAGGAAAACATTCAGATTCATAGCAGACAGGAGTACTTGCCAGGCATCAAACTCAAGCAGAAATTTCTGAGAGCGTGGCTCAGGTTCTTCCAAGAAGGGTCTGCCCAACAGGGGTTGGGATGCTATAACCTTCAAGCAAAGCCCTTCCACATTCTGAATTTTGATTATAGGCAATCGCATTAGAGAACACCAAACCAATGTCATTCCCTCAGCAGGATGCTATTTTCACTTAGATTTAATGCCTGAAGTTTCCTTGACTTCTGAGCTCCCCAAACCTTCAGAACTGCCTCCTGTCCTCTGTGTAATGAAAAGGCAAGGCTGAGAGTAAAAGCCTTCCCCCAGGCCCTCCACCACGCTGTGACTACTTGTCTGCTCTCGACATCTGGATATTTCCTGTGACAACAGCATATACAGCATATCAGTATTTTATTAAACAAAAGCAAGTATGTGTTTCCTCCTTACTCTGTTATTTATTTATTCACCATCTGGCTAGATCAGAAGATGAAATCTAAAAGGAAATTTTTTCTTCTTTTTTGCTAATGAGAATCTGGCAGAGGGGCAGAATGAGCCAGCGGCCGGGTGAAAATCCCTAGAGCAAAAGGAAGGACATTTGTCCTGTCCTGATACATCTGGTAAATTACCTGAAGGCAGCCCACATGGGTGATAGGCAGGTAGGGAGGTAGGGAGGTCTCACTCGAGATAATGAGGTGCCCGAGCTACCTGGGCTTTCTTCTGCTCTGTGGAACAACTTGAGGTAGACGCTATTTCAATACCTTGCCAGAGTGGCACATATGAGCCTTCTTCAGACACCTGAGCCCACAGTGAGAGCCTGTGAGTAGGAGTGAGGAAGGGGTAAGAACAAGCTGTGATGTCAAGGCTGGGTGGTGTGAGAATTCCAAATTAAATTTGGGTAAATTCACTTTCTCCCTTTAAAATGATGTTTGTCTCAGGAGGGTCAAATATACTGAAAATACATTATGAAATGTTATCAGTTAGGTCCAACTTTTAGTTCAACAGAAACTTATAAGGCTTAATGCTACCCACCCTGGCCCCCCACTTTTGGTACTCAGGCACTCTGCCACCAAGCTATACCCCCAGTCCTTAATGCCACATTTAAATAGCTTAGCACCTCACCCCCCCCACCCCATTTGTTAAAGGAAAAATTGTGCTTGCAGGTAAGAAAAGGGAGACAGCAGTCTAAGCAGAGGAAGAAGCTTGTATTGCCAGAAGGAAACCTTAATAATCCTTTGATCTCCTTTCAATTATTTTCTATTGTTTAGGAAGAAAACTGATCTTTGCTCCTGCTAACATTCTTTTAACTTCTCTTGCCCAAAGTCATGTACAGTAGCAACCTTAGAAAATTCTAACTATAAGTACCGTTTCTACACACTGGAAAGGCAGAATTCTTTTTTATTTGAGGTCACTAATATGAAGTAATGAAGCCTCAGATCACAAGAAAAATGAGCCAGGACTTACTGCTGTGTGACTAATTGAAAAGAATCCACCCAGACGCACCCACCCTGAACCTGCCTATGCAGCGTCCTGTCAATTGGCTAATTTGAAATTGACTGCTATCTATAGAATCTGGTAACAGCAAAATGAAAAGCACGCATCTTGGGGAAAATCCCAGACTCCTCAAACAGAACCTTGGCATGTGTTTTTCAACTTCAGGGGTGGCACCTGCCTTGATGTCATTTGAAAGACAAAATACACAGGAAGGTCATTAAAAGGGAAATGTGTCTTTAAAAAAGAAATTTACCCTTCTGTTAAAGCACATGTTCTCAAATGTTGGCAGTTCTCTGCTTCCACCTCTGAAAATATTTGATCATATCTGGAGACAGTTTGGATTGTCACAGCTGGAAAGAGTGCCAGGGATGCTACCGAGACTCCTACAATGCATAGGACCATCCACACAACAAAGATTTGGCCAACCCAGAACAATAATCCCTTCTAGTGTGGAGGTTCTTCTGTACCCATAAAGAAGCCATTGTCCCCTAAGAATGTTTCACTGATGTCTTTGATACCAGTTCTCACTATTCCCTGAAGGTTCTAGTTCTCCATGTGGACCTCAGGTGGTACATGCAAATTCCAAATGATTGATTAAAAGAGAAAGAGAGTGAGTCTCCCTAACTGTTTGTCTTGCCCTTGTCCTTAATCTTGATTTGCCCTGTAGGTTACTCTTATCATAAAGACAGTATGAATGACTGTCTCAGCGCCTTTCCTCATTAATGCTGCTGGAAATTGATGAGTGGTTCCCTGGAACTGTGGATTTTTTGGCAAGAATTATAGCTGTTATTTATTTTGGAGAACCCGTGCAGCTTTCTAAGTAAATATATGTAGAAAATTCCCCCAAAATAAACACTACAAGTAATTGCCTGATAGATGAAGTTGACATTTTGGCTTTGTGATTTGCTATGATATGTAAAAATCTAATTTTCTCCATGGAATGATGCCACTAGAAAATTGTGAGTAAATTAGAACCAGTGGTTTATTTAAAATGTGAGTAATAACTTCGGTTATGATGTATCAATATTTATTTACAGTTTCTTAAATCAACCTAAATCCATTTGGCAAAGTGTTAATTAGATGAGTAAATATGGCAGTGGAGTGATAGAGGTTTCCGTTTTCCCTTTTTGAGCTGATATGTCAAAAATCTCTTTGAAAATATACTTACTTGATCATTGAAGATTGGAGACCCTTGGTACACTTTCCAGTTGGCAGAAAACAAATTCCTCCAGTCTGTAATCTGTTTCAAGTTGATCTGAGTCAAAAATTCTTCCTGCTTTACCATCTGATAAGTGAGACATGAAAGCAACAGCAGTCCTGAAGCACATTGCTTTGAACAATCAATTTCTATATCTTGATATCTTAGTTAGTATAGAAAGAACTAGACAGAATGTCACAGCAAACAGCCCAAACATTGGGAAAAGTTACCTCTTAGATAAACATTTGCAATGAAAAAGAAAAAAAAAAGGTTCAAATTAGATCTAACAACATCTCCAAACAAATAGTTAGCAAAAAAGTTACTCATTAATTGCCACCCCAGAACTGAAAACAGGGACCTTTGCATGTTTAGGTTCATCTGCTTTAAGCTCTTGTTAACATTCAAAATTAATTTGAAAACTCTAACAGAAGATGATTTTTTTTTTATAAATCCACTTTGAGCTTTTTAAAAATGATAATGACAAAGGTCAATTGTCTGGGAATTTTATGTAGTAATCTATGCTGATTTACAAGTAGAATAAATTATGTTGGGTATCAGTATTGTCTTCCTTTAAATTTATTTTGAGAGCAGTCTATGCATAAATGCCTGTAAATGTTCAGCACAGCTCTGGTTATATGACAAACAAAGGATTCAAAAATCAAGTGTTTAAAATTATGGAATTAAATCAATTTTAGAATATTCCTATGATAGAATATTATGCAACCACTAAAACAGTATCAACATGGAACAATGATGATGGACTAGTAAATTAAAACAATTTTTTACCTATATAACATACATAATATTAAGTGATTTTTTTTAGTATATATATATTTGTGGCCATCAGCCTATATATAGGATGTGCTGCTAGAAACCTGGCTATGCATGTATTGCTGTGGTATGCTTACTTCAATTCTTTAGGATAAATACTGAGAAATAGGATAGCTGGATATTTTGGTGGTTCCATTCATACTCTTTTGAGGAATCTCCATTCTGATTTCCATAGTGGTTGTACATATACATACCACCAACAGTGTGAAAGTGTTCCTTTTTCCCCACATCCTCTCCACTTACTACTGCTTACGTTCTTGATGACTGCCATTTTAATAAAAATGAAATGAAATCTCAGTGTAGTTTTGATTTCCATTTCCCCAATTGCTAAAGATGTTAAACTTTTTTTTTTTTACATTTGTTAGTTATTTGTATTTCTTCTTTTGAGAATTGTCTGTTTGGTTCATTTGCCCATTTATGAATAGGGTTTTCCTTTCTTCCTTTTCTTTTTCTTTTCTTTTTTTTCTTTTTTTTTGGTGTTTTTTGAGTTCTTTATGTATTCTAGATCTTAATCATATGCCAGAAGAGTAGCTAGCAAAGATTTTCTTCCATTCTGAAGGTTTTCCCTTCACATTCTTAATTGTTTTCTTTGCTATGCAGAAGCTTTTTAATTGGATGACATCCCATTTATCAATTCTTGGTATTATTTCCTGGATTTATTGAGAAAGTCATTGCCTGCACCTACATGTTAGAGTGTTGACAATACATTTTCTTCGAGGAGTAGCATAGTTTTTTGGTCTAATTCTTATTTCTTTGATTCATTTTTAGTTGACTTTTGTGCATGGTGAGAGATAAGGATCTAGTCTCATTCTTCCTATGTGTGGATAACCAGTTTTTTCAGCATCATTTGTTTAAAAGGCTATCTTTTCTCCAGTGTATGTTTTTTGGCACCTTTTTAAGGATCAGATGACTGTGTCTGTGTGGACTTTTCTCTGTGTCTTCTATTCTGCATCATTGATCTCTGTGTCTGTTTTTATGCCACTACCTTGAAGGTTTATTTTACTATAGCTTTGTAGTATAATTTGAAGTCAGATATTGTGATGTCTCCTGCATTGCTAGAATTTTGGCTTAGAATTGCTTTGGCTATTCTGGATTTTTTATTCTTCCAAATGAATTTTAGGACTATTTTTTCTAGTTTTGTGAGGAATGTCATTGATATTTCAATGAGGATTGCATTGAATATGTACATTGCTTTTGGCATTGTGGCCACTTTAACAATATTAATTTTGCCTATCCATGAAAATGTGAGCTCTTTCTATCTTCTTATGTCTTTTTTCAATTTCTTTCTTCAATGGTCAATAGTTTTCATTGTAGACGTTTTTCACCTTCTTGGTTAGAGTTATTCCTAGGGTTTTTTCCTTTTCTTTTTTTCCTTTGCAACTATTGTTAATGGGGATGTTTTCCTGATTTCTTTCTCAAGGGATTTACTATTGGTGTATAGGATAGTTGTTGTTGTTGTTGTTGGTACTGAAATTGAACCCAGGGGCACTTAACCACAGAGCCACATCTCCAGCCCTTTTTAAAATATTTTAATTAGAGACAGGGTCTCATTGAGTTGCTTAGGGACTCACTAAGTTGCTGAGGCTGGCTTTGAACTCATGATCCTCCTGCCTCAGCCTCCCAAGCAGCTGGGATTACAGGTGTGTGCCACCAAGCCCAGCTAAAGTTATTGATTTTTGTAAGCTGATTTTATAACCTGCAACTTTGCTGAATTTGTTTATTACGTCTAGTAGACTTCTGGTGGAGGTTTTTGGAACTTCTAGGGTCATATCTGCAGTGATAATTTGACTTCTTCTTTTCCTATTTTTATCTCTTTTATTTCACTGTCGTGCCTAATTGATTTGGCAAGAATTTCTAGCACTATATTGAATAGGAGTGGTGAGAGTGGATATCCTTTTCTTGTTCTGGATTTTGAAGGAAAAGTTTTCAGCTTTTCCCCATTGACTGACATTGGCTTTGGGTTTGTTGTATATATCCTTTATGATATTGAGGTAGGTTCCTTCTCTCCCTAGTTTCTTCAGTGTTTTTATCATGAGTGGGTGCTGAATTTTGTCAAAGGTTTTCTCTGCATCCATTGAGATGACTATGTGATTTTTGTTCTTTAGTCTATTTATGTGGCAGGTTATATTGATTGATTGGTATATGTCAAACCATTCTTGCAACCCTCGAATAAAACCAACTTGGTCATGATATACCATCTTCTTAATATGCTGTTGAATGGGATTTTCTGATACTTTATGAATGATTTTTGCATCTATGTTCATCAGGAATTTTTGGTCTGTGGTTTTCCTTTCTTGATGTGATCTTATCTGGTTTTTGTTCAGAGTGATTCTAGTTTCATAGAATGGACTTGAAAGGGTTCTACCTCTACCTATTTCATGGAATAATTTGAGGAGAAATGGCATTAGTTCTTTAAAAGTCTGATAGAATTCAGCTGAGAATTAGAGTTCATCTGGTCCTGGATGTTTTTTTGTTGGAAGGCTTTTTACTATTGCTTGTATCTCATTCTGTTTAGGTCTTTTTATGTTCTCTTGATTCAATTTTGGCAACTCATATATATCTACAAATACATCCACTTCTTCTAGATTTTTCAATGTATTGGTGTATAGCTTTTCAAAATAGACCCTAATAACTCTTTTGATTTCTGTGATGTCTACGTTGTTTTCTCCTTTTTCATGTCTAATTTTATTAGTTTGGGTCTTTTCTCTTTTTCTTTTGGTTAGTTTGGCTAAGAGTTCATCACTCTTGCTTATTTTTTCTTTCTCTTTTTTGGCATGGGAAATTGGAGATCAAACCCAGGGTCCTTTAACCACGTAACTACATCCTCACCCACTTTCATTTTATGGGTTTTGTTTGTTTGTTTGTTTTAAATTTGAGACAGGGTCTCACTAAATTGCTTAGGGCCTCACTAAATTTCTAAGGCTGATCTCAAACTTCTGTTCCTCCTTTCTCAGCCTCCAAGTTGTTGGGATTACAGGCATATGCCACTGTGCAAGGCTTGTTTACCTTTTCAAATAAATAATTCTTCATTTCATTGATCCTTTGTAATTTTTATCCTCTATTTCATTTATTTTAGCTCTGATTTTAATTATACTTTTCCTTCTACTAGTTTTATTCTTGTTTTTCAAGATTCTTGAGATGTATCATTAGATTGTTTATTTGGAAACTTTCTGATTTTCTTATGTAGGCACTCATAGCTAGCTATAAACTTTCCCTTTAGAACAAATTTTAGAGTATGTCTGAGGGTCTGGTATGTTGTATCACTATTCTTATTTGATTCTAAAAATTTTTAAATTTTTCTCATGATTTCTTCTATCACTTACTCATCATTCAAAAGTGTATTGTTCAGTCTCCATGTATCACATTATTTTTGGTGTTTATTTCTAATTTCATTCCACTATGATTAAATAAGATACAAGAGATTATACTGATTTTTTAAAAAAATATCTGCTAAGTGTTGCTTTGTAGCCTAATCTATTTTGGAGAAGTTTCCACAAGAAGTTGAGAAGGAAATGAATCTGACTATGATAGATGAAATATTCTATGAATATTCATTAAGTCTGTGATTTATGGTATTTTTTAGGTCTAAAGAATCTTTACAGAGTTTATGTATGATGAGAGAATTGTGTTGAAATCACCTAGTATTATTGTAAACAGGGTCTGAGTCTTTAAGTTAAGTAATATTTCTCTTATGTAATTAGGAATAATGATGTTTAGGGCATAAATATTTATTATTTTATTTCCTGTTGGATCATTTCCTTTTCCAGTATAAAGTACCTTCTTTGTCTCTTCTAATTAATTTTGGTCTGAAATCTTCTTTGTTGGATATGAGAATAGCTATACCTGCTTGTCCATCTTTACTTTTTTAATGGACATATTTACTGTTGGTAGGAGAAAATATTTCATTCTGAAAAAGAATTCTTCCTTTTGGCTGAAAAAGGTAGAATTGAATTTCTAGAACTCTAGATTCTGGCCAACGTTTCCAAATACCATGAGTGAGCAGTGGCAAGGCCAGGTAAAATGGTTGTAATTGTCACCTCTTGACGGTTATGCCTAAGGATAGACAGAAGGCAACTAGACAGGTGGATGGCTGAGATTAAAAAAAAGAAAAGAAAAAAGAAATCATAAGAAAGGCTTTCTACCATCTTCCCTGTAGGTGTGGAGTCTGTGGTTCTGCTCAAGGCTACTCTGTAGAAACTGGTTGGTTAAATTGGCACAAAGAATGAATCTACAGAAACAGCAAAATGGCTTCATAGACATGTCCACATTTTCTATGTCATGAAAAAAGTAGAATCTTGCTCCTGAACTAAAAGAGGGAAAAATTGATCTGCCATATGGGAAAACAGGGGGACTATATTGTGGATGAATATTAGGATTAGCTCTCTACTATCTATCACACTGTCTGATATTCTGCCATCATTTTCAGTCTTGGGTTATTTTGGTCTTTAGGGTCAACTGACTAATGCCAAATATTCCTATCTAAGATGCTCATCAAGGATGCTGACAGCTCTTGGATAGCAAGATACTTTAGAAGTGAGATCAAGGGAATTACCCATGGTGGGTTAGGATAAAGAGAGGAAATACTGAGGAAGCTTGGAATAATCTCATGATAATATCATCAATTGAACTTCATTTGTTTTTCTATTGAGAAATTTTTTTATCAGAGATTACTTTGAATATTTTCAAATTTCCAATTGTAGACTAAAAATGACCAAGTATCTCCAGATATTTGGTATAATAGTGTCTCCAGATTGATAAAGTAAGAAATTCCCAAATAATCATATAAATACTAGAAAGTCACTTTGTTCTTATAAAGGTTTCTAAAGTTGTCCCCTTTCTCTCTCTCCCTCTCTCCCCCTTATGTTGGCATCATCTTCTCCTGTCCTTGAACATCAGAACTTAAGGTTCTCAGGCTTTCAGTCACCAAGTATTATAGCAGCATTCCCTTAGGTTCTCAGGTCTTTGAATTCAGGCCAAATTATACATTTGTTTCACCTTATAGATAGCAATGTGGAACTTCTCAGTCTCCATAATCTTGTGAACCAACTCTAGAACACTGACTAGTACACTTGCCTCCCTTAGTCTAGGGATTTTTTTTTTTGGGTAGTTGTAGCAGGACAGCACACCTTTAATTTTTTTGTTTATTTTTATGTGGTGCTAAGGATCAAACTCAGTACCTCACACGCGCTAGGCAAGCAATCTGCAACTGAGCTATAACCTCAGCCCTAGTCTAGGGATTTTGTCCTCTTACTTAATCTGTATATAATTTCTTATGCTCTGTTTGAGTTTATAAAGTGCTAGATAGAGGAATTGTATTATTTCAACTGCATTTCATAGTATACTTGGATCTCTTGCAAACCACTTAATCTTCAATTCATCCTCCATCCTGCTGCCAGAATGATCTTCCACCCATGAATTTGCCAACATTCATACCTGCTGGAATCTCCTTTGTGTATTCCTTGCAGGTAGGTTAAAGTCCCACACCTAATCCCAGCCCAGTTGAAATAATTATTTGCTGTTGTGTAACAAACCTCTACCTTAAACCTCACGGCCAAAAGCAACAACTTTTAATTTTTATAGCTCAAGTGTCTCTATGTCAGTTGGAGGCTCTAATCTGGGCTCAGCTGAGTCATCTTACTTGGGAAAGCTCTGCTTCCTGTGTTTCACATTCTTTTCCTGGGACCAGTGGACTAGCACAGGCAT